TAAAGGTTATTTTAATACATATGTATAATTTATTCTTTTATATCTTATATAATAAACATAGAATTTATAATAAAAGAATATTAATAAATATATTTTTATTAAAAATAAAATCAACTTAAAGATATAATATTTTATTCATAACCATAAACTAATTGTTTTTTATTTAGTTAAGATTAAAAAATATTTACTTCTACTAAGATTAAATTTAAACTTATTTTTAAAATTTTGATCTGTAGAAATAATCCATATTACTTGCTTTTTGTTAATTAAGTTGAATAAATTTTTATTTTCATATTTTTTAATTTTTTAATATATATATATATATTTTTTAAATATTAATATGTATGTATGTATGTATGTATATATATATATATATATATATATATATTATCTTATCAAATTTAGTAGCTCATAATATACCAAAGAGATTTTTATTCAAGTATTTTTTCTTGTTATAAGATTGTTTTTTATTAGATATTAAAGTCCATGTATTATGGTTTCAGAGTTATATTCAACTAATAAGTTTTTAGTTCTTAAATTCTTATTTTCATTGTCATTAAAATAAATCCTAAAAATACATCCGAAGATTTGAAAAATTGTTAAGATCGAGTTTTTTTATTTAAATACATATTTTATTAGATAGTTATAATTTTTTTATGATGTAAGATTTATATTAATTTTTAGAAAGTACTTTATTAACATAAATTTTATGGTGGTAATTCTGATAATTCTATAATAGAATTAATTTATAATAATCATTTAAAATCATGATTCAAATGTATCTTTTTTGAGTATCCAAATATAAGTTAATGCTGATTTTATTTATTCTTATGATGTTTGTATTTTTTATTTTTTAAAGAGGTAATTAATTTTTTTAGAATATATATATATATATATATATATATATATATGTAGAATAATTAAATTTATACCATCTAGATTTTTTATTAGAATATAATTTTAAAAAATCATAAAAGAAGTTATATTTATTACTAAATTTATTATTAATTTTAGTTCATTATTAAAATATAAAATTTTATACATAGCCTATAGATTTATTATTCAATAAAATCTTAAACATTTTATGAATAGTTTAAAAAATAATATTATAGAATCATATAAACAATTTTTACTATTGATAATTTTGTTCTAATAAATCTATTCTAATAAATATATCTATAGTTGCTCCTTGGATTTGATGGATGTGGTTGATGAGAAATAGCAACAAATTTGATGCATTTGCAAAATTCTCACATAGCTTTTACATGCATTCATTAGTATTGTATGTGTGCCAATATATAAGATATTGTAATTTATTTTGAAGCCGCCTTGAATTACAAACTTCTTCCCATTTTAAACTCTTGATTAGTTAGTAAAAGTTAATAATAAATATGTACAAGGATATAAATATATATACCAAAATTATAACAACATTTTCAGAAATATTTTACACATAATGCACATAAAAAAAATATTTCATTATTTCTTAAAGGAAGAAAACATCAATGCTCATTTTTTTGGAAATTTAACAGCTTTATGTGATTTATTTTGAATCATTTACTTAACGAAAAATTAGTTCTTTTTCTCTATCTCAAGCAACTATTACAAAAACAAAAAGAAAAAAAAGAAAAAAAAGAATTGTTAGTGCCACATTCCAATCACCAGTAGAAACTCGAGTAAATACAACAATGACCCAATCAACGAACCTTTCAAACAAGTGAAACGAGTTGGGATAGATCTCTACAGAGAGATGGGGGAGCAAAAGCACACAAACACGGTTATAGGGACAGCGCGGAAACAGCACCACATGAGAAAGAAAGAAACAAGCAAGCAAAACATGAAACGTGGGAATTAAAATAGGGAGCTGCTAATGTTAATTCCTAGGATAGCTGAGTCAACAGCCCAAGACAATGGGGGAGGATGGAATCTTGGCAGGGAATAAGAACAGGATGAAAAGAAGGAAATGGAAGAGGAAGAGGACATGGGCTTAGACCCCCTCCCCTCCCGGGAATCACGGACATAGGTCCACAGGCTCTACAACGCAGGCAGGCAGGCAGGAAGGGGAGGGTGTGACGACCACGGTGACGCACCCAACCCTGGTACCCCACCCGACGCCGCGGAGGTTAGGTGGGCACGGATGACCGTGTGAGAAAACAGGGGTATAGGTTGTATCCTGCAAGCAGGCCACTAGGCTTGGCCCTGCATGCGTTAAGGAAGGAAGAAGAGAGCCACGACCGGGTCGCCGCCGGGCTGGTCCGGGCCGGGGGCGAGACCCGGTTTGGCCCCGAAGGCGCAACTGGAAGTTGTAGGTGCTGGTGGTGGTGCGTGGGCGAAGGGAGGGTGTTTGAATGAATAAAATGAACGAATGAATGACTGGATGGATGAATGAAATGGAGGGGGGAGGACTGACTGACTGACTAAATGGTCTATCTGGACCGGATCCCCACCACCAGCACAGCAACTGTTTGTTTGTCTGTATGTTTGTTTGTCGACGCCCACTTCTTCGGCGATCGCGGCGAGATCAGTTCTGAGGTGGGGTGAGTGGGGTGGGCATTGCCATGCCTTGCCTTGCCGGGCGATAAACGAGAGAAAGATTGAGTGCAAGCAAGCAAGCACGATGGGCCTTGTTAGCTCGTTGGGCGAAGAGAGCGGCGATGGTGCTCACTTCCGAGTCCACCGGGTGATGGTTTCGTCTCTGCAACAGTGCACGGATTGTTTTGGATCGATGATGCGGTTTGCTGGTGATCCGTGCCTGTGGGAATTCAGTGCCGGCGTCGTGTGGCGTATAGCTAGCAAGTCATCTGGGGTTTGGAGTCGTGTGGTGCCTCCCCAGATGGTTTGCAGTCGACGACAGAGAGGTGCCGATCGGAATAGTGCCAGTTTACCGATTCACAAGTCATGAAATTCGTCGGATGATTTGACTGACGTTACAGGCTGGCGCGGAATTTATGATGATTCGCTGCACGGTGTTCGATTCTACCTAGTAGTCATCATCTACCGCCACGTCGACGGTCAAATAGCTAATGCCGTTAAGTTCATCACCGGGGACGAAGCATCTCCGTGCTCCAAGCGGTGATCTCAACGCCATGCATGCGAGTGTAGGAAAGTTGAATTCCTATTACTGGAACCATGATCGGTAGGTGTCGCTTGTCCTATACGCTCTGCTCCCTGCATGAAGTTATGATGCCTTCAAAGGCACAGCTCTGATTTGAAGGTAGCGTTCCAATAAAAAAAAAAAAACTGCTCCTCCTCTATAAATAAGATAAGACAAGCACCCAAAAGCTTGTCTGTCAGATATCTGTTCTCGACCTCGAGAAGGTTACCGGGCAATAACATCTTGGCCCGGAACGGATGTTGCGGAGTTGACATTTACGTTCGCCGAACACCTTTCGCAAATAGACAAGGATGTCGCAGACTCCCGAGTTTGCAGTGGATATCGGGATTAGCGCCTTTTTGTCCTCACGATTGATCCAGCCCATCTAAAATCTAGAATTCATATGTCATCAGCATGATCCAGCCCTTAGCACGGCTGACTGAATTGAATGCTCGTTTGCCAGGGTACACGTAAAACAATTTTGCAGTCGGGAAAGAAAAAAAAGAAAAGAAAAAGAAGAACACAGTCATCGTAAACCCGTTGGGATCGACTTCAAGTACAAATTATCAACACCCGTCAAAAGTACACTTGTAAGCCCACTTTGCAACACAGAGGGTAGCGGTGTGAATAGAGTGACCACAGTGTCCTGCAGTTTCCTACATCTGCGTACTTGACCTCCGCTTGTGAAGTTCAAGAGGCCCTCGATCTCGTGCCAGAATTATCAATAGCTTCGTACGAAGGCTAGTGATCTCTGGTATACTTTCAAGCCTTCAAGCTGATTTCTAAATCATGGTTTACTGCAAGTTCATTCCCGTTGAGTTTCCTGAATAGTGTGCTGTGCATTTCGACATGTCTGTTTTTACGAATTGCCAAGTCCCCAGTATCCAAGGCGCAGCGGCTAATGATTGAATATAGGCATTTAAGTCTGATACATCAGTACAACTGTTTGTAACCTTTTTCCAATTTGAAGTGAATGCTGTACAAAGCCCAATTGTACCCGTGAGAGGTAATTTGTGTCTTATGCCTGGACGTACAAAGGCACAGCTCAGGTGCAAAGGTTCGGACAACTTGAATAAAAAAATCGGACAAATTTGGAGCTGTACCCTTTATCGCCGACTTTTTTTCTTTTTTTTCTTTTTTTTCTTCTTCTCTATCTTTAATTATTTATTATTTTTTTTCCCGCCTCCTTCGGTACGTTGAGTTTCTTGTGGCTCCATGTGAAGAAAGCCTGCTGCGTGTGAAGTCAGAGCATGTTATGGGATAAAAATACAATAGTTGGATATCTTGACCTTGTTCGAATGATTAATGAACAGTTAATTATTCACGGGAATTGTGGGTTGGAATGATTCCCTTTTTTTTTCTCTCTTTCTCTTTCTTTTTTTTCTTTTTTTTTTTTTTTTTCCTTTTTTTTCAAAGACTTCAGTTTCACAAAATATATTCACACAGTTCAAAACTGGCGACACGATGAAGCGACACATGTGCTCCAAGTATTTCTGTTCTACATGTGCCCCGTGAAATGTTTTTTCAAAAATTAAGATTTGTAGTGATTTAGCAGCTGTAAAGTTTGTAGGAATCAGTCTTTCTCAGATAGATTGCTGCATATATATATATATATTTCTTTTTGTTATTGATATAGCATGACCTAGAAAGATTAAATGTGCGGCGTACAACGTGGTGAATAGTTGTGAGAAGAGATATCTAACGTAGACCATTACTGTTGTACATGCTGATTTTTTAATTTCATTAATTGCAAAACTCTTTTTCATTTTCCTATGGATTTTTCAACCACCTTCAATACAATTTCTTTTAGAACGCAGGTTTGAAACAAATTTCGTGAAAATCGCTTGTTTGGAAAGCTGTTTCAGACGGTGTTCGTGATGGAATATCTCAAAATTAGCGTCGGTGGTTCAGGGTTGGCGAATCTTGCATTACATTCACATTCCTTTTACACTTCGAATCAAGAGGAATACAGATGCTTTGCCCATTGAAGAGACAGTGTTACAAACACCCACTGGTTCCTTCATAGCATCAGAGTATTTGAATCTTAATTAAGGATTCAAAACGAATTTCATGGGTAGAGAGAAGGAAAGTTTGGTCATCTCGTAAACCATACAAGGTAAAAAAATCTTGAACAGAACACTAATCACGAATAATGATGTTCCAGAGAGTCTAGGATCTGAGCTACTCAAATTGTTCCACCATATCGTATGATCGGGGACTTGGCATCTGATTTCTAAATGAGGATTAGCAGGATTGATAACTATCAGTTCTAGTGTCAAGAGTGGGTTTTAAAACTTCATCCTGGATTCACAATCCACCATGCACCACATAACGTAGAACTCAATACAAGATGGCCGCAATCTGATCCCAACAGCGATTCCAGAACAAGGAATCAAGATCGCGACCACCGCCACCACCAAGACAACTAAAACCTCATATCTGATCAGGTCACAAGCTGGTTCAGTTCGGCCAGCATCTGCCCATATGCAGAAAACCACAGAGGTCCTTAACACTAAAATAGCTCAAAGAAAATCCCGAGATTTCTTCAAACACTTCCATTCTGCGCAGTGAACAGTTTTTAGGTTTTTTTCCAGAGTCAATGTTTATGAGCTATAGTGTAGGAAGGGGCCGCCCGACCAACAGAAGATGCACCAGGAACATTATACGCGCCAGGACCAGGATTGGAAGATTTCTGGCCATGGAATCTGTGCTCACGTGACGCAATGGAGTACGAAGGACCCACTTTGAAAGTGCCCACACCGACATTGTAGGAGCCTGGACCTGGCGTGTGGTCCATCTGGACATGAGACCGAGCACCGAACGTGAATGACGGCGTCGATCTCATGTTGTTGCAGGAACCGAAGCTTGTTCTGGATTCACGTACCTTTCCCCTCCTTGCTACCGATCCATGTGACCCAATTCTGTTGTGTTTCGATCCACCGTCGACGTTATAAGCTCCAGGTCCAGGGCTGTAAGCATTGCAGTCACTGGTTGTGGTTCTCCCTGCCATCGAAAATGCCGGTGCCGATGCTTTCGTAAAACAAGATTTTGTGGTGTTGTATGCTCCAGGTCCTGGTATCGACAACGACGACGATAATTCTTTGTTTCGTTTCATCGAATCTCGAACTCCGATTGCGAATCCGGGTCCTCGTTTCATCACTCTTGCATCATACAACGGCTCGTGTTTCTTTTGACCGATTCTGTTATTACTCTTTTCTTTCAGTGTTGTTGTTATGATCGTCATCACATTCTGGCTATTCTTTTTATTTTATTGAAATGCTGACCCTTGGATTTTATTTGTTTATAATGTTGAATGAAAATTCATTTTTTTTTTTATCTTCTGTTGCACATAACGTGTGCAGAATGGTGTCGAAAAAACTGTAATACAAGTTGCATTTTCATGTGATTGTTTGTTTTATTGTGATAACTGTTTACTGTTAGCATGAACATGAGGTTTGAAAGTAATTGGTTAAAAATATACAGTTTCATTTATCATAACATTTTACACACATTTTTATTGTTCTTATCAGCATCTCTTTATGACCATTTGATTTTTATACAAATTTCTATATAATTAATATTCTTTTGTATAGATTTCAATGTGAGTGAACAATACTTATAACAAATTTTTAAAGAAGACAACCTGCGATTGCTCAAAACAGAGTAGATATCTGTATTGTTATATATGTTGTATGATTGTAATAAAATTTTGCATTGAATCACAACTATTACGACATAATTTATAAGTTTGTACACGCCGAATATTTGTTTGCACAAATATGATTATCTAAATTCACTTATCTTTGCATTGATTTTTGAATTTCGAGCGTTCGAATGCAATGAATATTATTTAGACAGTTTGATGAAAATCGATATTAGGTATGTGTTATAACAATGTCAAAACCATGAGCATTTTATGATTAATTAGGTGATTTTTTAATTTTCATGTAGCACAATTGCGCTATTAAATAACTTCACTGTTATAATTTACACAAAATTCAGACTACAGGTTTAGGACCAAACAATAAATTGTTTACCAAAAGGTACCACTAAAAATTCTCTATATGAATAGAATTATACTTATCTTCTTCAACCATCTCAACACATGCAAATTTTAAGAATACACAATCAAGATTTGAAAAAAAAACGAAGGATCAATTTAACTCAAACAAGAAAAACCAAAATTACTGTGGTATTTTAAGAATTATGGAAATTACATTTATACCAATTATTTGATAATCACATTTATTTTGAAAAACATTTGAAGTATTTTTTTGAGATATTAATAATTTGTTAAAATTTGTCTTTTACTTTTCAGTAAAGTTATTACAAAACATTGGTTTATCGTGTCAAAGGTAGTTGTGTGAAAGTATAAACACCATTGATTGTTTCCATATTTACAACAATACAAGACCTAAACTGATAATAGTATTTTAGGATAATCATGTATGGATTGCTAATTAAAACAAACTACCCATAATTTATGAAAAGCAAGATAAATATGTGTAATGTGAACTGCTTTTTCTCATTTAGGTAATGGACAAGAAAAAGAAAAAGAAAAAGAAAAAATTACCTCTCAATTCTATGAACAAAAAACAGGTTTATATAATAGTTAACATAATCATTTATAATTATAATCGCTGCTGGTTTGTTTTTGTGTTTTACAATATTTTAAGAAAACACATAAAACCATATAGAATGAAACAGGACATTCGTGTTGCTCATTTTCGTTAAAAAAACACAGCACAAAGCATATCTCACCTCTTTAATAAGGTCTATTTTACATAATCAAATAATCCGTTTCCAAAAAAAACACCAAGACAATCTCATATTTTTTAAATCATAAATAATAAAATATTTGAAGAATCTCATCATGGTCATTCCTTAATTACATACTATTAGGTTTTAATGAGTCAAAATATAATATATTCAAAAACGATACAGGTTTATCAATTCATTTTTATTTTTAGTTCGTCTTGATGGGCCATTCGGCCAAAAGTTTTTTTCTGTAACAATACTGTATATTTACAAAATGTTAAAATTTTTAAGTCATCGACATGTTCCTCTCCAAAAAATTCCACATCTGATACGATTCTGTTACTCTGCCTAATTACAAGGCCATGTCATTCATTTAAGAATTCATGAATGTAGTTGGATCTCATGGCACAACCTTGAGGTCAAGAGCACAATAACACAAATACAGATATGATACACACACCTCTATTTATTGAATTACCTATGGATATCTTGATGTCCATTGAAGAATCATCATGGGTATTACAGATACAAAACAGAGAAAATTAATACTTCTCCATGTGTGATCATCTTGATGACTACCCAAACTCAAGTAAAGCAACACGTTCTCACTGAGCAGTCGATTGAGTTTTAATTCTTCAAATGATTAAAACATGTGCATATAATGCAGATCAGGCTCCTTGATACTACAGAGCTGTAGATTTTACATTAAAACCGATTGCTAATCATTCCTTAAGAAAGAACTGAACACGAGAAGCTTACAATTTTATACATTAACAGTACACCTCTAACCTACTGTATTAGATAGATAGTATTGTTGTCCTTGTGCAATACAATGTGCACTCTCGATTTCAACATGCAAGCTGACGCTGCGTTTCTCTAGAGGAACCACATTTCAAATTCAAGACTTGTTTGCTGGTGTAAACTTCAATGAGACGCTATTGACACAGTGCCGTGCGTCAGTTGGAGTAGGGAAACCCTCGCCCCTGAAAACATGCCCCAGGTGACCTCCACAAGCTGCGCAGGTAATCTCCACACGACGGCCATCTGCATCGGTCTGAAACATAGACATTCCAACATGTAACTAGGATAAGTTTTCGGTTCTAAAGCTGCTGCTGGTAAAATAGTATTACCCCTGTTAGTTTCTTACTCACGACCACTTCCACAAACAAGTACCACAAGTGATGAAAGGACACAACCGACAAAAAAATCATACAGCACGAAAACACAGGCAACAATCAGTGTATATATATATATATATATATATGTGTGTGTGTGTGTGTGTGTGTGTGATTAATAGTACAAATCACTCTTGAAGATACTAGAAACAACGGTGAACTTCTATACAAAACTTTGCGCAAGCCCTTGAACCTGTAGCTCTATAGAACCAGAACATGCAATGAAAGAGAGATGAGGTCCGCTCAAATGGTGAGGACAGTGTGTACGCACCGTCTCATTGATAGCACCAGGAAGGCCCTCAAAGAATGCTGGCCATCCACAGCCGGAGTCGAACTTAGTGGTTGATTTGTAAAGAGGAGTTCCACAGCCAGCGCAATTATACACTCCTTCGGCTTTGTTCTTGTTGTACTCACCGGTACCAGGATATCTGTACAATAAGTGGTTTCTCCCGAGTTAGAGAAAAGGACAAAACCAATCTCAGCGAGGTTCTTTACACTGAAGTACATGGAACAGACTCAGACCTACGAAACCCCAAACATGGTTCCAACAAAATATTCTTAACATCAAATTTATGTACAATTCGGTCAAGTTCTTCGCAAATTACAAACAACCAGACTGGCTTCTTGATAAGTTTACCACCGCCAACACGGTCACACTTCGACCTGATAATTTCTTAATCTTCACCAGCACTCACAGCCAGGTAAGAATAAACTCTACTTATCAACATGCATTGAAGGATGCACCACATTCACTCAGCTTCAAAACAGGGCGCAAAAGGATGACCCCTCTGTACCACTTCAGCTGAGAAAAATGGACAATTAGGGTATGTTTTAAATACGACAAAAAGTATGAAAAAATGACGTCCCTATCATTTCAACCTAATCCAAAAGAAAATGCGAAAAAAAAAGTCGAACAAGCTACGCATTTGAATTGCGACCCAATTCCATGCCCACAACACTCCAACAGCAACAAAACCTCAGAGCACGAATTCTTACTCAGTGCCCTTTTGACGCAGGATACGGAATTGCTCGGGGCTCAGAATGGCCCTCCACTCTTCCTCAGACTTCTGCACTTGGGTCTCAGCTCCTCCAGCTGACGCCATAGCCACTCCCCGCCTGGCTTCGAAACGAAGCGTTGGGTTGTGCGTGAGTTTGAAGACGGAAGGCCGCAGGGAGGCGGCGTTGGAGGCAGCTTTGAAGGAGCGCGCGGCGGAGGCAGGCTTGGCGATGGTGGTGTTAGTGACTACGGTGGAGAGCATGGATGCCATAGCGAGACTGATTGTTAGAGGCCTACACATTCTCCTCACTTCCTTTGAGCAACCTCAGCGTGGTCTCACTTCCACTTTGCCACGCTGCTGCAGCACTCGCAACTTCCCTACAAACGGATTAGGTCCTACCTACGAAGCCCACAAGTTTATCGCCCACTTTTCGACACATCCCATAGACCTACGCCTCTCATCTTCTCCAGCCAGATCAATCCTGCAGCCATGTGACCACACTAGAGTCGTCGGTTAAAACCCTCGATGCAAGAAGGATCCTCCAATCGGAACTATCTGGAACATATCACGTCATTGGGCACCGAGAAAAGTGTGGAATTCTCTCTTTGGGGAAGCAAAATCGACGCGCGACACGTCGGCTGTGATAACACTAGGGTTCTTTTCGGTCTAAGCAGCGAGTAAACATAGTGTGTTTTTGTGTGAACAGAGATGGGATTCTAACTCTGCTTGTTCTTAATCTATGTGTTCTCTGTCGCTAAACCACTTATCTTTGTCATGCAACCCTACCTGATACCACCTTGTTTAGAGTTTTCATAAAGCTGCTCCATTCCTCATGCACAAAAGACCCTGAGGCTAACGAAGCCCATGATCGAATGGTGGTACAGTGCAGTGAAGCTAAAAGGTGAAAAAAGTCATTGTTGGAAATTTCCGCCCAAAATTGTCGGATTAGAACAAAATGCAGTGCTCGACTGTGAACCCTCCAGAGTTGTCGCAGTTCACGGCAACAATTAGGTACGAAAAGAACATCTGGAGACTAATCTACAGAGCCAGGTCTTAATGACCAGATGGCTTTTGACGTTTGCTATGCGCCTTTGAGACGGTAGTTTGTATGCTACCGAAGGAATAAAGTACGCTACAGAATTCTCTCAGGATTCGCAAGCCATTATCAAGGGTTCTTACGAATCACCTTAGGATCAAAATGCTCAGCAGAGTTCTGAACTTTTAAAAAATATTGAGTGATATGTACGACTGAATAACCTACATTTGCACTTGGAAATTGTTGAAATGGGTACTCTGAGACATGCCTCATCACAACTGATAAACGAGAACATGACGGACAAGGTGTCATGAGGCTGGGATGTAGACTACCGACCACGAGCTCTCTTGGAATGGCGCTGACCCGCATCCTCGGGTTCGACATCGTCACCGTCATTCTCGGGATTATTTGCGTTTCGACTTTCGCGCCCTCGATTTCTCGAGTGCTTCCTGATAGGTGTGGATTGGGATGGTTGTAGTAATGGATCTAAAGTGGACTGCCGATCAGGCATCAATTCTGCTCCCGCCTCCAGCTTCTCTTGCATTGTCTGCACGAACGACAAAGTGCCATTTATCATTACAATCCAAGCCTTGAGGATTAACAGATCCGAACAAGGAAGCAGGTTCTTCATGCGATTCTTCAGATTATTAGTAACTGCATTAGAGGAATGTACAAGTAAAAGGTATGTTACCTGCCAACATGTCCAGTCATATCGAAATACAAATTGGGTATTGGTGACCTGCCCGCTTTGACGATCATGAGATGATGGAGCATTCTTGGGAGCTGCAGTTGCAATCAATTTGATCAATAATTCTCCTCATGAAAAAGTATTGCTAATAACCAACTACCACCACCTTCGAGATATTGAACTCAACCACCAGCCATAGATTACTACGACTCTTAAAGACGCAACTAATGTATCACGGAACAATGGATTGAAAACTTACCGACAAGATGTGTCCCGTCTTTATCATATGTGATTGCAGCTCTACCATCCTTAATAAGGAATGAGAGAGAGAAAATGTTCTCCACAGTTTGTGAGAAAGATTCTCTGTTCAAAACAAGAGCATCCAGCCGAGCACGCTTGACTTTTCTGAGAATGTTAAACATAGTCTCCATATTTGCATCAGTCTCTGATTTTGCCTCTGCTTCACCTTGGTCCCTGACCTGCACAATGCTCCAGGTCAATCATAAGTGGTACGTTACAGCTTGTCATTTGTTTCTCGCAAACTCAAGACTCCTACATCAAGCTAACCAACGCTGGCAGGGACAAGAATACGGAATCACCCGCTCGAAAGATCCGTCAACTAAAATCTTCGTTCTAGTTTTACACCTCTTTGGTGCAACACATCCCAGAAAATCTACTCTTGATATTGTCTTATTTTCTTGGACACAAGAACGGCACAGTCGAAATGCTTAGGAAAGAAACATACCTCTTCAGCCCGTGTCTCCTCAGTAGGTCTGATCCTCTTTGCTCTGGGTGCATGAGCTTGTCGTACCTTAGGTTCAATGTTCATGGGTCCAAGCCTACAAAAATAAACAACGTTCTCATGGACTGCCTCATATCATCGAATGATATCTTCTTTGACCCACAAGACGTTTACAGTCCATCACAGTTAAAATTTACCTCTCCAGGATTGTATTGAGATAGCCTAATGTGAGAAACCAACTCAGAATTCGAAGTTGAATCAAGAGACCATGAATTTAGTCATACCTCTACCAATCAAATCAAGAATGAGGTTCTCTAATTTTTAGTTAATGCACAGACCGACCATGTACTAGGGGTAAAGATAAGATTTGAAGTTATTCACATCATATTCATCCTTAAAATAGTTAGAATCATGATAGTCACATTCTTTAGAGGGCTTAAGTAGAAACTCACATCGTGCATACTCCTGGAGCTTCCCGTAGAAACCCGGAAACTGCAAGTCCTAATTTTCCCCAATCAACTTCTAGAACTGCTTCATCGTCTGCAGCAACAGCCCGATTACCAAAGGTGCCTAATAGGGCACTAATAAATGCAGCGGGACTGGTACCATTCTTGCGCATGCTTCCCTTCACACTTCCAAGAAAATTGCTGGTGAGGTTCATAACTGCCTCAGCATCAGCAATCTGCTCTCGAGGTTTTTGCACTGCAAGTCGCGGGTAAATAATCAATGACACCATCCTGCTATCAAAGTCGAAAACCAGCTTCGTAAACATGATGTGCTAGAATCATGTGATAGACCTCTATAAATGACAACTTATCCTCACACGCTTTCTTTCTACGTCTCAACTGCAAATCGACCCCTCCTCTCCCGGAAAGGGATCGTCTATGATGATCACCACTGTTTGTCACTAAAAACACAGTTGTTCATTCGAAGGTCACTGAGAAATTGTCGGGGGGTAGTGTTTTTGTCGGACTGAGAACACGAAGGTGACTCATCAGAGGAAAGACACAAAGATGGACAATCCAAAAACTTCTAATCAGCATTAACCTCCGTGCCATTGAAGCGTAATCTTGCATGAATGGAGCAGACTACTGCGGGGTGAGTATGCATGGGTCTAAATTGAGGCATTTAGAAGCCATATGCAGTCCTCTTGTAACAACTAACCGATCAACACATCACAAATGAGGTCTTTCATGGCCAATCACCAACGATTACATGACACATCCTTGGCATGTGACCAAATTACAGAGGAACAATGCTTAAGTTACTCGAAAGGACTGAAAATGTCACCTTCTTTGTGAAGATCATCCATCTTCTCAACAAGTTCATGAAATCTGTTCGATTCCAAGCGACTAAGCTCCTCCGCATCTTCTGCAATACGTTAAGTCATACATCGTAAGAAAGACTCGCATGTACAATCCACAACAAAACGGCAGAACTGAAATATTGCCGTTACAGGACACCACGGAATGCAATCATCGAACCAACTCAGCACACTTACACTCCACAATGAAGCATATGATATTGAAGTGTATAAGAATCCAGGATGAATACGCCAAAGCAACTGAGAATTAGTCAGCAAAGAAACCCACCTGCAATAGATTGCTTGAGCTGTCTGTACTTAGACCGAAGAACTCGTCGCTGTTCCGCATTTTGCATCGACATCGCATTCTCTTGGTCAGGTTGAGACGTCTGCACCCCTCCTCCACCCCTGTTTCGGGCATCCCTCTGCTCGCGCCGCCTACGCCGACTATCCTCCTGAGAGCTCATTTTTTCTTGTTTTCTTTTTCTTTTTCTTTTAACTTCTACACTTATGCTACCGTAACGCAAGCGTACAACCTTCCTCCCAAAATAATCCAACGTAACGCATCCCTCGTCGTCAACCTAAAAATTCACGTGAAACCATTGCAATCCTCCGTCATCAAGAAACCACACCACTCTAAACCCCGACCCCGTGAAGTCTCCTCCACGCAAACAGTCAATTCCCTCAAAACCATCCCCTTAACACATCCTACATACTTCCAGGAATTAAAAATCCTCCAAGATTTTCCGCCACAAAATCAACCCCATTGCCACAACGACGAAGCATGGACACACAGAGAGAGAAAGAGAGAGAAGGGGGGACCACCACCACAGCACCAAACCCTACACCCCTGCAATTAAATTATTCACAGAAGAAAAAGTGACGAATCCTCCCACTGCCGAGACAAAGCGGTGATCGAAGGCGGAGTAGGAAAGACGACGGAGTAGAAGATGAAGAAGAAGAAGAGGAAGAGGCAGTTGCGACATGGCCATTGATGGGTTTCAAACGTTCGAACTGGCGACGGAGGAATTGGAGGGAGAGAGAGAGAGAAAGAGAGTGACAGTGAATTTGGGGGGGGGGGGGGACTGGGTTCGAAGTGGCCAATAGAAGAAGAGCCCCCCCCCCCCCCCCCCCTTTGACACCGACGCCAAGGTGGTCACATGCGCCTTCACCACCACCAAAAGGTCTCACCAACCATCCAACGAACGAATAGGCAAATGAACGGACAGAAGGAGTTTCCGTCTCAGTGGCTTGTGAGAGAAGCTTTTTCTGCATGAGATTTGTCTGCAGGTGGATGACGATGGATGAGAACGTAAGGTCGCCGATTTCGTTTGGTCTGATTTATTCATTCGTTCATATGGACAGATATTGGATGTTAGATGAATTTATGGGTGGATGGATTGTGCCATTTCAGTTCGAGATTGAGTGGATGTGTGTGAGAGACTGGGGCCGAGTTGGAAGTGTGGGAATGGATTTGGAGATCAATCATAAATAATAATGGGATCGTGGGTTTTTTAAATGTTAGAAAGTGACTCAAAATTGTATAAAATCATATTTGAAATGATATAATTAGAAAATGTATCATTTGGTATTTAATAGATAATGATTTTATTTAAAACTAAACTTATTTTTCTAATAAGTAGATAAACTTAACAAAACCCAAATAAACAATAATCATGTCAAAATCATTTCTGGATATATACTCAGTATCATGTCAAATCCTTCTTCTTTTTCAATAAAACCTTTGAATTTTGTATTTTGTTTTCTAAACCACACTGACTGTTAATCTTTGAAAATGGGAATGTAACATTTTCAAGAGATGTTAACTCCAATACAACATTCTAATCAAAGTATTTTCAATTCTAAGCTAAATAGTTTTGGTTTTTTTGAAGGTAAATTATTCAGAAATCACCATCTATGTTACTTGCAGAAGTTTACAAGTATGCTTACAGTGTGAAATAAAATAATAATAATAATAATAATAATAATAATTTTAATTTTTTATTATGAAAATTTAGCTAGTATTAAAAAAATTTAAAAATAAATATTCAGAATTACACATACATGTTGATTAAGAAGAAATCAATATCAATATACTCTTTAAAAATAAATACTTATGTTTTTTTTTACATTATTATGAGATATATATATATATATATATATATATATATATACGCATAACTCTAAATTTTATTTTGAGTTTTTAATATTTTATTATTTCACTGCTCATTATTTATATTAAACAATTCTAAAACTACAAATTTTATTTTCATTATTTTTTTACAATATTTTATTTTAAACAAAAATACTAATTATCCAAAGAAAATCATTTTTAAACATGTTCAAATTATTTCGATATATATATATATATATATATATATATATGATATAAGACAACTTGCATATAACACAAAGCAACAAAGAATTCTTTTGATTGGTTGTGAAGATGGAGGAGTAAGGAACTTTAGGAACAAGGGAACATGAGAACAAAAAAAAACACGGAAATGTGGAGACATGAGAATAAGGGAACATGAAAACAAAGAAGCATTGATGAACTAGGGAATGGATGGATGTGCCAAAGATTGCAATGCCCAACATTCAATTTAAGGAATAAATCAAAATTGGTGTAAACCATTTTCATTACAAATTGGACATATTTTTCTAAACTAGTATAATTACAAATCTTACAAGGTTCATACTGTCTGGAGTGCTCCAAACTTTTTCTTCTCATCAAGCATAATCTGTACAATGTAAAGATTGGGTTAGTGCTATTCTTCAATTAGGGGCATGCAGTTGAGGGCAAAACTTTTAATTGCCTCTAATTCATGAGAAAAGAAAATAAAACAAGCCAAAATCAGATTAAGATTTATTTTTTGTAAAAGATAAATTAAACTGAGCCAGGGACTTTCATTCACATGAATGTCCAGTTTAATGTCACTAAAACTACCCACAGTCACAAGTGTTAAATTAAAAGCGTTTTGTGTATAGACATCCTAAAACGTTGGACATTTGTAATGCAAATCAAAAAAATATGTAGAGCATTACCATTATTCAGAGTTGGGTAAAATTGCACAAGAAGAACAATGAATGAATGGCACAAACGGATATACAACAACAATAATAATAATTTGTATTTGATACATTTTTCAATTAAAGTTAACCAAAGGAAGTCATAATTTTTGCAATGATATATATTTTATGTTATAACAACTCCTGATATAGTTGGTACATGAGGCAAGGTATCCTTTCTTTCACACAAGTTACTTATTTGCATTAATATATTCACATTTGAGTTTTGTATCACAAATTAAGGGTAATGCATTAAACAATTCTCAAGCAGCTGCATAATGTGATGGTTGTTGTGATATTTTGTTGTTCTAAGCCAGCGGTCATCTATGAAGACAACATATGCTCTGTCTGATAAGCATATGTGTTCAGAATTTGGCTCAATCGTATGAAAGAAATGTTGATGTTTATGTTTTTGGTTTTACTACATGGAATGGCAACTGTTGATTTACAGAATGTGTAAATTCACTGTGAGTTACAAAGTACAATGTTGCTGATCTCAGTTTATTGAAATGAATCTGCCGATCTAAGTTGAAACGGATCTGTCTGGATGATTGTTGAGATTGGAAGCATTTTTGAATCTTGTGCATTGAGATCTGCTTTTCAACTCTAGGAGATCTCCAGGATGGCTGTCTGCCGATGAGGACTCAGTCATCAGCCTGATGATCAGTAGTTCATGTGCGTGCGTGTATGGTGAAGCTCTATAACAGCTGAAGGTAGGCTGGTGTCTCTGAAGCACTACGGTAGTTCATGTGTAATGTAGGGACGTGGGTTTTGTACGAAGGAAGCTGGTTTACATATTCACGAGGATTTCTGACTGAGCCTCAGATAAATTTGCTAGTTGCTGACGAATTAGATATCATACTGCAATTTCATGGCTGTCAACCGTCATATCAAACAGTTGGTTAACGAGTGAAGAAGCAGCAGCAGAAGAAGAAGAGGAAGAAGAAGAATTAGTAGAACTCGCGGATGCTGACTGGCATGCACGATGCCGAAAGTAAGGGCTCATCATCATTTCGAACTCTGTCAATTCCTCCCGAATATTGATTTAGTGAAGTGAGTGACGGCACGCGATTGTTGGCGGATCGCCTGGAAACCCTAGTTCATCAGCATCTGAGATGAAACAAATTATGTGAGTTTTAAGGGATTCAAATTCTTTCGCTCATTTCTGACCAACAATGTCTGTTTTGGATGGTATAACAAAATTAATTCACTTTGCAAAGTCATGAGCTTTTGTAATGGATCATGTCTCTTGGGGTAGTTGATCTTGAGGTCGACTCTGAAAGCACAATCTATCAGTGACCTGCATTGAAATGCCCTTCGACTACGCAGTTGGTCTTCAACGTTGTTTTTCATTTTTTGTCCGGATCAAGACTGGCGTCTGACGAAGTAATCGAATTTTGCAGGTTCTGTATTCTGATGAATTGCAACCCGAGGCATGTCATTTTGCAATAAATTGGAATCAAATATTGCAGGCTCGTTCTCGTGTCATTGAAAACTTTTTCGAGCCATTAAAGTCCACCAGGTTCAGTCCTTCCTTTCAAACAATGCATTTGTAAGTTTAAAACAACACAGAAAAAAACCATGTTTTTGTTATTTTTGGTATGACAAGCTGAGCATGAGACCATCCAGTCAGCGAAGGGTGATGGCAGAGGGCTCGCGTGAAACGATTGCAAAACCATGGACTATGCTCAACATGTGAGTTTCTCAGCTTTTTATCAAATCAGTGGCATGACTTTTAAGCTTCAAAACTGAAACCGTCTCAAGAAGCTTACATAATTAGAATTCACAAGAAAGACAATGAATTGATCCACAAGACGTTGAATGACAATGAGTTTTACTTGCAAAGCATATAAACTTATTTTTGAATCAATAAGATTAAGGCCCCTAGTTTAAATCCATTAGCTACAAATTTGCCAATGAAGTCTAGTTGCCTATAATACATTCTTATGTTGTATTTTAATAACAATTAGAGATTTAAATTATACCATAATTAGCTAAATAATTATGAAAAAGATGATATAATCAACCACCAATGTTCTTCTTATCTACTTAAGTTTTATTGAATACTTTTATTGTAAGTTTTTTATTTTGTATAATTTTGAAAGAATACAAAATAAGTCAAAAACATAAATCAAGAAACAAGTTAGCAAGACATCTCTCTTGTATTAGCAAGACATCACTCTATAATTGTGCAAAGTTGGCACAACATATTTAAAAAAGAATTGTCTAAATAATAACTTTTGTGGCTTATTAAAGAAAATTTAATAACAACACAAAAATGAGTATTTTTAAAATGATGGCTTTAGATTAGAATATATGTAAGAATAAAACGTTTTTATAAAAAATTAAATTTTAAGTATATTTGTAAGTGTATCTTAAAAAATCCAAGAGTATATGCATGACCTTGCATACTAATGGTCACCAATCTTAATTACTGCAAAATAATTACTCACCAATAGTTTTTAGACATATTATGATAGCTATATACATTGGAAAAGTAATGTCCTACTAATACAAAGATGATGTCTTGCTAACCTATTTCAAAATCAAAATCAAATAAAATAAAATATTATATATAATAAAATCTAATAATTTTTTTTAAAATAATATTTAATAAGTATTTTAAATTTAAGACTATTTATATTATATATAGAATATAAGATATTATATAAAAGAATAGAATCTTATACATAAAATCTACAAAGTAAATTATATTTTTATCTAATTAAATAATCTAATCTAATTATAAATAAAAAATTAAATTTTATTGTGACTTACATTTAGAAATATAATTTTTTTTAAAAATCATTATTTTTATGAAATACAAAAGGACTCTAGATAAAAAAAAATTTACAAAAATTTTATAAGGTATGAAATTTTGCTTTGAAATCTATTAATTATGTCATACTATTTTTATTCTAATTATATTTATATAAATATTAAAAAATGATACATCTAACTACATAAAGTCTCATTGTTTAATTTGAGTTAATATTTATTAAGCTTTTTAAT